CTCCATATAGAAGTTGAAAAATCAATTCAACTTTTAACAATGACCATTAATTACAAAGATCCATTCATATAATGATATTTTTCATTTAAATCTATTCAATCAAGGTACTCATGATTATAGAAATCCTATGTATAAATGAGAATGATACGAAAGTTTTTTTTTCATTATTTACCGGTTCACTTTTATCTCTTGAAAACTCTGAATGTAATCAATTGCGAAAGTATAATACTATTTCGCTGTATGATAAGGTTATCCTTAAGATAATAAAAACAGAAAAGAAAAATAGAAAAAAAAGTACTGCGTTCGTATATACCCTTGTAGATCTCATTAGTAATGCGTAAAAGTATCCTAACACCGTTTAACATCTACCGTGTTATGGCAATACTTAACGCCCAACTGAGAATTATTAAGCCTGACTTCGAGATTAATACTAGTTGTTCCAACCTCTCGTTAGAAGCGTTTATCTCTTTCTCTCTCTCTCTCTCTCTCTCTCTCTCTCTCTCTCTCTCTCTCTCTTTCTCTTTCTCTGTCTCTGTCTCTGTCTCTGTCTCTGTCTCTCTCTTTCGAAAGAGATTGAAATACGAGCTATCGCGATGTTATCACGCAACCCAATCACAATAACATAATTAATCGGGCTAAAGAGAATCATTCCAAATGAAAAGATGTATATATATATATATATATATATATATATATATATATATATATCTACATAATATATTTCTCTTGACCGGCCAAGTTTCTGGAGGAAAAAAAATGTATGGTGGAATGGAAAACATAAAGGTGGATTACCCCGTTCTCTCTTCTCTCTCCCACTCGAACCCTCGAATAACGAGGATGTCCCGTAAAAAAGTACCTCTCGCACGAGCGAGAGGCAGGAGAATTTACGGCGGCGGCTTTAGAATGACGGCTTGCACTTTAGCTACAGGCGATACGCTCGCTGGTAACTCCTCTCTGTTAGAGACGCGATCTTCGCGCCGCGAAATGTCTTTTCGTGCTTTCTAATTACACGAATCTTTTGTTACCTTTTACCTTAGGGTGATCCAAAAACGTTAACGATTTTCGATGCAAACGATTATTACCTTTTTTACATATTTATTCAAATCCATGACGATGTATATAATACAACGATGTATATATGATATACGTAAGGATTATCATCGTTTAATTTAAAATTACAAGATTTTTAAGATATAAATGAAAGTCATTAATAAACATCGAATTCGTAAAAATTCGACACTAGATCTAACCAAGATATGATCGGTTAAGAACGAACTTAAAGACTTTCAACGAGCGAAGGAAGAGAAAAGAAAATGAAAGAAAGAGAAACGAGAAAGAAGAAGAAGAAGAAGAAGAAGAAGAAGAAGAAGAAGAAGAAGAAAAACGAAAGAAAAGGCAAGAGAAAAGAAATAAAAAGAAAAAAGATAAGGAGCGTGACTAGAAGCAAGTCGATCTCATGAAAGAGGGTTGTTCCACCCGCGTTCCTCGCGTTTTTGATTTTTCTGGAAGGCTCTCGTTACAGTCTCGAGGCGGTTAATAAACATTACGTTCGGTCTCGATCGTATAGGAATGAGAAAGACAAAGAGAGAAATATCAAGAGAAAAACAAGAGAGAGAGAGGCAGAAAGAGAGAAAGAAAAAGAGAAAGAGAGAGAGAGAGAGAGAGAGAGAGGAGAACTGGGGCCCAGAGCACGTCCCACGGCCACCTATGGGAGCCCGCTGCCTTTCTCAAGGAGCGTTCTCTTACCTTACGTAAGTACCAGAACGGGAGACAAAGACGAAGAAGAGAAAAGAGAAGAGAATAGAATGAGCAAAGGAAAGAAAGAGAAGATAGTAAAAGACGAAGTGAAAGAAGAAGAAGAAGAAGAAGAAGAAGAAGAAGAAGACGGAGGAGAAGATAAAGAGGAGGAGAAAGGGAGAAAAAAAAGGGGGGCACCGAGGACGAAGAAAAAGGACCTCGGGGTCCGTCTGGGATCTTCTCAAAATGATTCACAGCCTCCGGTAATTTACATTCGCTTGCGTGGGTGATCGTCGTTTCTGGGGGGCCCGCTGGCCATATTCTCCTCTTCGTCGACTACCATCGAAAAGGTTAAACATACACCCACCAGAGGTCACGTAAGCGGCGAAGAGAAAGACCGTTCGTTCCTTCGTTCCTTCGATCTCTCTCTCTCTCTTTCTCTCTCTTTCTGTTTCTCTTTCTCGTCTCTCTCTCTCTCTCTCTCCTTTCTCTCTCTTTCTCTCTATCACCATTCCTCTATCTCTGTCCTTTCTTTTCTTCTTTGTAACTCGCGAGTAAGCGCACGCCTACACAGCCAAGACATCATGGACAACCATCTATTCACCCTTCGATACATCCAATATACCTACACAAAAGAGCCATTGGTTGCTTTTGATGATCTATTCCGATGGCTTTTCTCTATGCGCGATAACGATATTTTTGTTTTAAAAAATTTTCATCACTTAACTTAACCGAAAGGATAATATCTCGGTGAAACTTTTAAAACTCAATCATATTTCCAATAAATCCTATATACATATTTCATGACGTCAAATCTATGAAAGAATTAAAAGGAAAGAAAGAAAGAAAGAAAGAAAGAAAGAAACAAACAAATAAACAAACAAACAAACAAAAGGGAAGGTAGAGAAAAGAAGAAAGAAAAGTACGAAAAGAAAATAAAGGAAAATGGAAAAAAAGGGGGGAAAGAAAGGAAAAAGAAAAGAACCATAGATATGGCCACACGATCGATCTTTCAGTATGTAATCGATTTATCGATCTTTAGATCAACCGAAGGAATTCGTAAACGCTGTCGTCAAAGATGATTATTGGTCGATCGAGACTCGATGCAGAACTCGAAAGCTGATTCTCGCGAGATAACTTTTATCCGCGATGATCGCTCGAGAAATGAGATAAAGCGGGAGATAGAAAGAAAGAGAAATAGAGAGAGAAAGAGAGAAAGAGAGAGAGAGAGAGAGAAAGAGAGAGAGAGAGATAAAGAGAGAGAGAGAGTAAGAGAGAGGGAGAGAGAAAGTGAAAAAAGATAAGAGAAAGGGATCGGAGGTGGGCAGCCGGCGTTCTCGCCTTAAGCAAGAGACCCGTTTCAAAGACACGTTGAGCAAAACCAAGGGGTGGGGTGGGACGGGTGATGGGGCGGGGGTGGGGTGGGGTGGGGGGTTAGAGGGAGGGCTCTCCCTAAAATATGTGAACCCACGGGCTACACTCGGACTCTTCGCGTTACATCCTGCTGAACGCTCCGAGCGTATACTCGTCCGTTATGCCGGCAGTCTGTATATCGTATGATACAAAAACATGACATTATTTTCTTCTTTCTCTCTCTCTCTCTCTCTCTCTCTCTCTCTCTCTCTCTCCCTCTGTCTGTCTGTCTGTCTATCTGTCTCTCTGTCTCTCTCGGTACCTCCCACTCTACCCAACTCATCTCGTTCTCTTCTCTCTTTACCTTCACTCTACTCTCCCACTCGCCATCCTCTTCCCACTTCTCCCTCCCCCCTCCCCTCCTCCCCCTCCTACCCTGCCACGTCCCCACCACCGTGTTCTTCCATATGTAGAAGAAGAAGCATCATGGTTTTGAATTACGACCGATTATTATGCTTCTCTCTACCGGAGTATCTTCCTTCCTTTTTTTTTTTTCTTTGACGTGGTAACGCGTATTACGCCTTCATTGGGTTTTATGAATGAAAGAATAGACGAGAACAAAGGGAAAGGTCGGGAAAGGAAAATCCGTATAAGTTATTACGAATTGAAGAAAATGATAAAGTCAAGTATATATACAATGAAATTGACAATTACAAAATAGAACTGTTCAATCAAGGGTTTTCTTTCTCAATTAATTATATCGAAAAAATTGAACAGATCTTTCTTGTTCTTTTCTTTTTCATTTTTCTTTTTTTTTTTGTTTTTTCTCTTTTTTTTTTTTTTTTTCAATCACGACAATAATACCTCAGGACAGATTAAATCAATCGTCGAACAATTGTTTTCGATCTAATTCTTTTTAGATTTTTAATGATATCATTCCATGTATATATACTTTCGTTCTCTAATCTAAATGATAAAATGAGAGAGATAGATTCGCTAATGAGACATTCGCGGGATAGGGATTAATGATAACATTGAAATAAAATTTATTCAACAACGGAATATTTCTTAGCAGCAATACCAGTTCTTTTGAAAATCCAACGGTACCGCATTGAGAAATACCGTTCCCTCAAAGAAAATATCGGAAACGAATGACGACGATGACGAGGTATCCAAATGTCGTGGCCATTTCTATCTAACTGGAAGCAGCACATATGAGCAGAACGTGTCGCTTTGTCCCTGACAAAGTTTATGTATGCGAGCAGAATCGTCCAATGGGTTTAGAAGTGCTGCAGGCTATCTGGAACGATGTTGTTGGCCATGGCCGTTTAGCCAGAGGGCATCTCGAATAGGACAGAGCGAGACTGGGACAGGCCGTTTGGCTGCTTCCCTTTATATGTCGACCCTCGACTGGCCCATTATGCCCAATACTCGATCCTTATACGTTCTTAGATTTTTTTCAAAAATCAATAATAATTAATATATTATATATATATATATATTGAATATTATTGATATATAAGGGCACATAAACATAGACAATGACGAACAAATATTTAATTGTTATTAACTTTTATATTATTTATTTATAATTATTATCGAATATGACAAAACTTGACTGTCTACTTATATTGCAGTCCTATATAACTATCGGTAGGTAGATGGTATAAGAAGGGTGACTTTGGGTTCACAAAAGCTGGGGGCCGAAACGCCGCGAGCTGGCAAAGCTCTCGCAAGAAGGTTGTGGGATGAGTGGAGGACGACGAGGAGGACGATGAAGAGAAGAAGGAGGAGGAAGAGAAGGAGGAGGTTGAGAGGAGCAAAAAAAGGCCGTTGGCGATGCTCGTGATCGTTAGTTGTATTGGTGGGTAACGTTAGCCCAACTTGCAATGTACTAGTGGCGCTCGAGAGAGCGCGAACGCTCGAAACGACGACGAAGTCGCAGTCTCATCGAAGCCGCGGTGGCGCGCGGCTTGCGCTAGTTGAGCGTCTATAAACGAAAGAATACACGTGAACGTGGGACCACGTGGGTTCCGTGATTGTTTCTGTGCGAGGGAACAACGATATGAACAAAATTTTCATATTTCTAACGATGAAATTAATCTCGAGTTTCGTGATCGTCCATTTAGGAAGGTGTTGTTGAGTTTCTTTTTGTTTTTCTTTTTTTGTTTTCTCTCTTTTTTTTTTTTGTTTTTTTGTTTTTATTTTTTTTCTTTTCTTTTTTTTTTTTTTTTCTTTTTGTTACTGTCGTAACACTTTGAGGAGTAAGCTGACCATTCGAAAATAGTGGACATCAGAACAACCGTCAACCTGGAGTCCACGTGCCAGAAACGGTGAGTCCAACAACAAAGGGGAAAATGTCTCTCGTAACATCTTCAATCCATTCTATGACAAACATTATCCCTGATATCTTTTCTATTTCCCTTCATTGTCAATTTTATCGGCTATTCATATTCAATTGTAATATAATCGTACGAATGATAATTCGAATTATAATCGATTCATAAAATTTAGAATGAAATATTACAAGATATCGGGATATCGTCTTCTTACCTTAAGTAACTTTCACTCGAAAGCAATGTTGTATGAAAATTGATGGAAACGGAAATTAAGGAGATATAAGTAGATATATTATATGTGTATGTGTACGTGTGTATATACCTGTTCGATGTTTTAAAAGTAAGACAACATCTATATGCAAAGGATATTCACACCAACTTTCTGATTCCATCGCGTGACGCCGATTTCATGCTTAAACACGGCAATGCGTCGAACGTAACGAACGTTCAAATGCATAACACGTATTTCAAATTTGCGTATGGCTTTTTCTTTCCAACGTACCATTGTATTCTCGAATACAATTTCAAATTAACATTAAACATTTTTTACGATCATTATCATTATCAATAGGATTAACAAATATTGCCAAATGGCATTTGCATTTTTCATGACATTCATTGGATTAACAAAAAAATCTCTCGACAAGATCGTAACTTAACAATCGTGACGTAACAAACGTTAAAAGCATTTCATTCGATTGATACGACAATTTTTCCCTTATACGTATATATCATTATTAATTATAAAAATATAACACATAATTCAAAATATTATAGATACAGGGAGGAAAGCAATGACAAAAAATAAAACAAAAATACACGCGCACATACACACATACGCATACACATACACGCAATCCATCCTCCGAGTCCAAAGAAAAATGAATGAAAAACCTTTGGAATGACGAACCAACGAAAAAAAAAAAAAAAAAGAAAAAAAAATAATAAAAAGAAAGAAAGAAAGAAAGAAAGGAAAAAAAAAATTGACTAACAGTCCCAGTTCGATGATAAACGCAATACGACATCTCCGACTTTGGGAAAAGCTATTGCTCGGTAACGTATCGTATGGGAATACGTAAAACGCATCCTTTTGTGTATATATTTGTGTCTATTTGTGCGTGTATTCGTGTGTGTGCGGATCTATATGTGTATTCGCGAGTATGCATCTCTATATGCATGTTCACGTACAATCAAATATATATATCTACGTGTGTAGATATATGTATCTATGTATGTACGTACATATGTATATATATATATATATATGTGTGTGTGTGTGTGTGTGTGTGTGTGTGTGTGTGTGTATGTGTGTTAGAGCACGCTCGCGGCGGAAAAGAGGGTCGGTGAGCCGCTCTCGCATTTCAGAACGGATGTGGGCTCTGTGGAAATTGTGCTGGGGTAGTAAAAGGAAAGAGGATATAGGGGGTGAGAGGTTGGTTGCCGGCGCGCGCGCGGACGTACTCGCGCGCACTCCCAAAGCGAGAGGGGGTTGGAAACGAGCTGGAGGCATGGCCGCGAGCGCAGACGCGCTCTGCAGTTGCCGTAATTAGAACCGAGCGCTCCGAGCACATAGCCAAAGGCTGACGAGTCTCCCGCGGACCGAAATTATTCACGAAGCCGCGCCACCAACGGCGAAATTTTCTCGTAAATATTTTCTCTCCTTCTCGAAAAAAGAGAGAGAGAGAGAGAGAGAGAGAGAGAGAAGAAAAAAAAAAGGAACGCTATCGTTGCTGATGGGTGACTCCATAAGTCGTAAACGTATATTATAAAGGTCGCTCGTCGTACTTGTATCGAGAATATAAAAAAGTACCTCGATTCTCTTCTCTATTTATCTCTATCTCTCTTTATTTTTCTGTGTTATACGAATGAGAATCCATTTCCAATCGTATATGTTTCTGGAATGTGCGATCGAGAGATTATTAACAACATCGTATAGCGCAAATTTTATATTAAGAATGAGATAAATATTTCGATATCGAGTGACTCTCTCATAGAAATATTTACGAGAATTTATTTACGATAAGTACGATGCTGTATTTATTAATATCTTTTGGTGATATTGAAAAAAATCGAAATATATCAATTAATTTCTTGTGATCAACGTGATAACTTATGGTAATATTAATTTGCACGTATAAAAAGAGATAAAAAAAAAAAGAAAGAAAGGAAAGAAAGGAAATAGGACGGAACGAAAAATTCTTGTTCATCTTTAAAATAAGGAAGCACAGTAATCGATCGGAGTCTATAAGACATCAGTGTCGATTTGTACGACTTGCTATTTGCAGCTGTAAGTTGCTGCGGTGCATGAAATTCCAATCAGGCTTTAACCGCGCGACGTGTCTCGGTCAGAGTTTCCGTCTCGTAGGGTAAGTAGGTGAGTAAGTGGTGGGAATAGGCGAGGATGAAATGGAGCAAGACACGCATTCGCGCGTATCGGGAGTGCCTCCTTGCTCTGGTCTCGCGCGATATATGTGGGCAGGTACGTACCTAATCTAAACTAGCAGGTACAAACACAGTATATCTACCTGGGGGCCATGGACCGTAATAAAGAAAGGCTAAAGAGTTAAAAGAAAATAATGAAAAATGGGAAATATTTTTCGTTTCAACTAGGATATATAATATCCTAAAGGAAAAAAACCACATGCACACACACATACACACACGCACTCACGTACACGACAATAACAATAGAGAAGAGAAGATCGAAAAAATAAAGTAAAATAATTAGTCCCTATCGAGACTAATAATCTCGAGAATTATAATATAGATTCGAGTATATTTTCTATTTTTCATTCTCGTAATAATTTTCTCGAGAATTGATAGTATAAAAAGACAAAAAGAAAAAAAAAAAACGAAAAAAAACGAGAGAAAAAGAAGAAAAAGTTTAAAAATCAACGAGCCTGAAATTTCTTTTCATCGATAAAGATCTCACGTATTATCCGTCGTATCGTCGAATATGATTTTATGAAAGCGCACATGAGGATTTGCATCGCTCGTACGAGGAGAAACTCGATACGAGTTAACCGGTGAAAAGGCCAAAGGAAACTCTCGTACGCCGCATGGGGCGGATGCGGAAATTATTGTCGTAGTAATTACAAGAATTCGTAATAACTCGGACAGTGGACGTGATGGAAGGAAGATGGTTACTTGGACAGGTCATCTCTTAACGGTTGATAGATCAGACAAAATGATGAGATTCCATTGGATTGATTATCTTTTTTTTTTTTTAAGTATTATAATGATTTATTTTTATTAGGTGAAATCCGGTTTATAAATTTCTAAATTCCCTCGATAATCATATACATATACCAGTAATCTATACACACACATACACACACACACACACATACACACTTAATCTCAATATTAAGTCCTACGATAAAACTCAAATGAATACCAATTTAACGTTCAAGCGTTCTACTATAGTAAACGACTAAATATCCTCCATAATGTACTTTTCTTTTTCTTTTTTCTTTTTGTTTTCTTTTCTTTTTTTTCTTTTTTTTTTTTTGCATCAACAGAATATTTAGCAAACGGGGCACGAAGAAAGCACATATGGCGCGTGCTCCTTATGCATAGTGCGCGCGCGCTCGAACTGGAGGCCGTTCACCGTCAAGAATGAAGAGAACGAACGAACGAACGAACGAACGAACGAACGAACGAACGCGCGCACGCGGAGTCTTCTTTTGCGTTTCCTCCTCTTCCACCTCGCGTGTGCCATTATGCCACGAGTATAATTTTTTTTTCCTTTTTCTTTTCTTTTTTTTCTTTTTTTTTTTTTTTTTTTTTTTTTTTCTATTTTTTCCCTCGCATGACCACAGAGATATACCTCTCGCCCTCTTGGCTTGCTCCCCTCCCACACACACACACATACACACACGCACACGCAAACACATACACACATACAAACATACCTCACATTACTTCTGACATTATTTTGTTTCTCGTTTCTCTAGTACCCCTTTTACGACGGGATCGACATACGACTCTCTCTCTCTCTTTCTCTCTTTCTCTTTCTCTCTTTCTCTCTCTCCTTCTCTCATGGATTTTCTTCTTCCTTTCTCCCTCTCCCTCTCTCTCTCTCTCTCTCTCTCTCTCTCTCGAACGAACGAACGAACGAACGAACGAACGACTAGCAAGCGACCGACCGCGATCGGCCGAAGAATGTAATGTAATGCCTCGTGGCATAATGTATGCGCGCCATCATTTTTCAACTATCTCACTGGATAGTCTCGTTTGGTGAAAAGCACTCCTTAGGTATTCCAAATGAAAATAATATTGAATTTCATACGTTTGTTGATACGACCGAAACGTTAATACTATGTGATTAAAGTATTTCGTTAGAAAGTCACTTGCATAGGCCCAAAAAAAGATCCTTCCCGACTTCGTTCGATCTATTAAATAAAAAATATTAATGATCATGATAATCAATAATAATATTCTCGCATATATTACAAATTTATAATTGTTCTCGTTAAAAAGAATTATTGTTCGATCGTTAACTTTTATTTTTATTCTTTCGAATTTAAGATTATCTTATAAGAGATTTGCTTCGTCGTTTAATCATTAACATCGACATTTTTAAATACCGATCGATATTTCTCACAAATTTTTATATATCGCAAGATTTTCGATTGAAAAGCGTTTCATTATATGCCTACGTTTGTTCTACAGGTAGAACTATGTTTTTGTCTATACGTGGTTTTAGTAAATGTGTATATGTGTGTGTGTGTGTGTGTGTGTGTGTGTGTACGTACGTACGTACGTACATACGTACATATATAAGTTTACCCTTTACGATAGTTACATCTCTCGTTGCCGCAACGCATATCCGCCTTCCATGAACGCATACTTATTTGCCCGACTGAATTTATCTCCCTCTGACGATGAAAGACCATTCGAAACAAAACAACCGGATCAATCAGCGCCTCTTTCCACGCCCTCGACCGAGGCCGACCTACTGTCGATCTTGCTAACGAGTTACTCTACATCTATCTATGCAGGCTATCGCGGAAATTCTTCTTCTTACTCTTCTTCTTATTCTTAGTCTTATTCTTATTTTTATACTTATTTTTATCCTTTTTTTTTTTTTTTTTTTTGCGAAATAAGAAGAAAAATTAGCATAACGTTAAACATAAAATTATATCTATATATCTATCTATATATATATATATATATATATATATATATATATATTTCTCATCAATATAACATTATTTACATTGAACATAAATTTTGCGAGAAATTAATTTTGAAAATTCAAAAGGAGAGAGTTAAACGACAATAACGCAACAACAGAGAGTACAATAAAACGTTTTAGTAATAATTTGAACTGACGGTATCCATGCCTCGAGGTAATCCAAAACGATATATTTCTATGTTAGTATTTGCATCGTCGACTATACAATTGTAATAGTTAAATGCATAAACGACTTGTTGCAATTACTAATCGATCATCATAATTTGACGGTTCTCGCTGATATTTCGAATCTTTCGTCATCGAATTATGATAATTTACTGGACTATAATGTACGATTTTGATATATGTATATAAATGTCGATGATTTGTCGATTCCTCTTGAAATAGAGTAAACACGTAAGATCATTTAATACATTGTATTAGATATATTCTTTAAAACTTTTATGAAATATCTATTAACTTCATCTAATTCTTCATTTTGTGTTTACATCGTCGATTCATCCTTCATCTGGCGCAAACGCGTTAACGTTCTTCGTTACGTTTCAAACTGACTCCATTCGGTTGAACGCAAGTTAAATATTTGTTTCCCTGCTAATTGGCTTATTAATATATATGAAAATTATGTGTTAATGTGTCGACTCGGTCAAGAGAACGCAACCTGAAATAGGCGAGACCAAGTTATTGTACTCGTATGAAAATAATATAGCAATTAAATTAAGCTATCGTCGATTGACCGAACGATGACCGATCCAATTTGTAATTAAATTCTACAATTGATAAAATTTTATTCGTTTTATAATAACATCGATTCGAACATAAGAGAAAACACTTTTACAATTTCATACCATATGATTAAAACTTTTCTTGATAGTTCGTCAAATGTTAAATATTGTTTCGTATTATACAAACAAAACTTCAATTTCAATCCTTACTTTGATTTCAATTTACGTCGTCAAGTTTTATACAGATCTTATTTCAAATAAATATTTCACGTTATACCTACCAATATTAAAATAAGATAAACATTATCAGAACTCCGTTTAACTCGACTAACTCATCGCGGATGTTTTAGTTTAATGAGTTTCATAATGTTCGGCCTTCTTTCTTTCTTTTTTCTGATTACAGACGGAAATGTGAGGCCGACGGGAAGGAGGCGAAGGCCGAGCTAACGGCGCAACGCAGTATGTTCCCTAGCGCACAAATTAAGATGAGGCAAGTGAAGGGAAGAGAGAGAGAGAGAGAGAGAGAAAAGAAAAGAAAACAAAAAATACAATCTCCATTCAAGTAATACCATGTAAATTCTTATCGACATCATGGCGATTAGATTTAATGGAGTTTCGTGACATTGTAAAAAAACAAAAAAAAAAAAAAAGAAAAAGAAAAAAGGGAGAAAAAAGACGATAAAGTAAATGAATAAAAAAAAAAAAGAAAGAAAACGGAAAGAAAACCTCAACAAAGAATTTTATTGCGTTTAATTTAATAAAAAGTCTGACCAATAATGTTAATATCGAAAGTATCCTTTTCGTTAGATTGCTGTCGCCAAGCAGTTCGCCGGCCACGTCGCCTACGATGTCGAATTCCTCGTCACCGACACCACCGACGCCGGTCACGCCGGTTTACAATCAAAAGATGACGGGTATACCATGTGTAGCGGCGGCTTCGAGGTACACGGCACCGGTACACATTGACGTTGGTGGGACGATATATACATCTTCCCTCGAAACTCTAACCAAGTAAGTTGACAACGTATCACAAAATACATATCTGAAATATATATAAATTAAAAGACATTGAACATATATATATATATGTATATATGATCTACGATCAACCAAGTAAAAATTAATGAAATTATTAAAAATACATTCGTAATCATACATTATTTTTCAATCGAGAAGTACTTTTTTGTATCTCGTAAAAATTCATAAATGACATGACAATAAGACGATGAAACAATTGTAATCGTATGAGTGAAGATCGATCGTTTCTAAGGACAGGACGTCGAAAGCGGAGCAAGCAATCCAAGCGATGTGAGTCGATCGTTTAGCCTTTTCCCATAGCGCGAGAGGATCTGACCCGGGATCGGGTCCGGTCGAAGTACGGTCGAGGCACGCTCGGGTTCCCCTCTTTGGTGGGTCGAAGAAATCGCCTGAGGTAATCACGGCGTTTCGTTCTCCGCCCTTGGTACCGGTCGCGCCATTTCTTCCTTCGTCTCTCTTACTCTCTTACTCTCTCTCTCTTTCTCTCTCTCTCTCTCTCTCTCTCTCTTTGTCTCTCTCTCTCTCTCTCTCTTTGTCTCTCTTTCTCTCTCTTTCCTTCTATCTTTCTCTTTTTCTGCATTCGACTGTTTAGCATCTCTCTTTTGACAGCAAACGGCCGACAGTATATATGTATGTATGTCTCCTCTTACGTCTCGCGTGCGTCTACTTCATCATATTTCTTTTGAATACTTTTCCATCCTGACCTATCGATCTGTATACATATATACATATATATATAAGCGTGTGTGTGTGTGTGTGTACGAAATTACGTACCTGTACTGTTTATAGGTACGTATCACCTATATACCTTGCTACCGAACCGATAACAACACCTTGACATTGAACGTATTATTATCTAAACGATACGTCGTTATTAGGACGGATAGTCGTAAATCGTAGGATTACACTTTTGTACCTATAAGGAAATATATATTTCGGCCATCATTAGATTCTTCAAATGTTAATAATTCGAACAAAACTAGTACGTACATACGTATATCGCACGATAGTGAATCTTTCGTTTCTGTCTTTTCTACAAAGTCAGATTGCCCGTAGGCTTCACGAGGCCATCGTTATTATATGTTATCGCCGTGGAAGGTATGGGAACCGGCTCGAGGAGGCACACTAGGTACTACATCGGCATTTCCCCCCTCCCTCCCTCCCTCCCTCCTTTCTTTCCTTCCTTCCTATACACCCCGCTAACCTGTACCATAACGCACCCGGTTGTGCTTCAACACGAGCACCATCGTCTCGGTCCTCTTCTCTTCTTCTTCTTTCTTTTTTTCTTTCTTTCTTTCTTTCTTTCTTTCTTTCTTTCTTTCTTTCTTTCTTTCTTTCTCCGTCGTGTTCGTTCGCTCAACGCCGATACGCGGATCTCTTAACGTTCTTCGACTTTTCTCTTTATTCGTTTTTCCCCCCTCTTCTTCTCCCCGTACCACCACCATCCCTCTATACTCGTCTATTATATGCTAAATTACGTCGACCTTCGATCGTACACGCAGAGGATCGAGAATCGATGTTACATCGATATAATACAAGTCAACGATTTGATCTTTCCTAAGAACCCACGATAAAGATAGATAATTGATTTTCAGGTATCCAGAATCGAGACTGGCCAAATTATTCAATGGTAGTATACCCATTGTTTTGGACTCGTTGAAACAACATTATTTTATCGACAGGGATGGTAGTATGTTTCGGCACATATTAAACTTTATGAGAAATTCGCGACTCTTGATACCTGACAACTTCGCCGATTTGGATTTATTGCTCGAGGAAGCACGATACTTCGACATTGCACGTAAGTATTGATCGAAGGGAGAAAAAGAAAAAACAAAAAGAAAAAGAAGAAAAGAAAAAAAGAAAAAAGAACAAGAAATTATTTTTTTAAATCCAAAACCTCATCCTAATCGTCCGATTTAAAGAAAAGAAAAAAAAAATCGTCCCTTTCGTTGTTATTTATTTCTTTTCTTTTCTTTTCTTTTCTTTTATTTTTCTTTTCTTTTCTTTTCCTTCTTCTCTTCACTTCCTTTTCTTTTCTTTTTTACAGCGATGTGCAAACAATTGGAACAGATAAAAAAGGAACGAATAAAGAATGGTACCGCGAGCTTATCCTCGACTACTGGCTCGGCTTGTTCAACGGCTACCTCAACCGCCTCGGCAGCATCGACTATGACAACGACGACATCATCGTCGCCTAAACAAGGCACCGGAAGACAAATTGGCATGCGCGGGAAAGGCACGTCGAGTTGTTCGCTCGACTGTACAGGTTGCTCGAGTTGTTCGCCTTGCGACCATGAGACCGAAAAATTTCGTGGTAACGAGGGTAACCGCAGTTACGAATGCGTTGCCCTACACGTCAATCCTGATCTCGGTGAAAGAATTATGTTATCGGGCGGGCACACTCTTCTCGATGAAGTCTTTCCCGAGGCCATGCAAGCTGTGATTAACGCGCGTTCTGGTATTGCCTGGCATCAACAGGACACCCGTCACGTCATCAGGTTTCCATTGAACGGCTTTTGCAAGCTCAACTCCGTTCAAGCTATTACACGATTGCTCAATGCAGGATTTCGTATCGTTGCAAGTAGCGGTGGAGGTGGTGAAGGTCAACAATTCTCAGAATACCTCTTCGTCAGACAGTCCATTAATACCTGACGGAAAACGACGATCAACATTTATCCAATCATTTTATCGATCTTATTCGCGATGTCGTCTCTAATATCGAATATTAATCGAGTGAACGCAACGATCGTGATTCAAATTAATATCTTCCTCGCCAATTATCTTACAAAGCTAAATCTATTTTTACGTGGCAATAGAGAAATCGAATCGATATTCCGCGTTCGATATTATAGTTCATTAAATATCGATAAAGATCTTCGAGATTTTATGATATAAAGAGAAGCCGAACGTTTACATGGGGTTGACATAAAAGACAAAAAGAGGAAAGAGAAAGGATACGAAAGAGAAAAAAAAAAAAGAAAAAAGTAAAAGTAAAAGAAAAAGAGGTCAACCTGATACGGAAAATGTGTATTTTGTGTCGAGAGTCTTCATGCGACGTAATTAACGGTAGCTTTAAAGAAATATATATATATATATATATAGGTATAGAACGGAGAAGATGAAGAACACCATGTCAGCATTCGTCCAAGGATAAATATTTTATTCGATATTGTTCGGATGGCTTTGTACTTGGGTATATCTTAAGTGCAAACCGATTATTCAAATTTGTTATTATATAATAAGATGTACTTATATGTATTTATATGCCATACTAATTATTGTAAATATCGCGAATAAACTATTGTTCGTCTATACACACATGCAAGCATGCATGCACGCATATACACAACACACGTACACACACACACGCACGCAACACAGAGATACGAATTGTTACGTATGCATGTATTATTAAAGAAAACAAAAACAAAAAAAAAACAAAAACAAAAAAAAAGACAAAAACAAAAACGAAAAAGAAGCATATATTATCTCTCTCTCTCTCTCTCTCTCTCTCTCTTTTTTTTTTCTGACTGACCCATTATATCTCATAACACTAATATAAGTTATATTATTCGTCCGTGTCTACCGTCAGGAATATTCAAAAGCTTTTAAAACTATTACTTTTTAACAGACAATAAAAACCTATTGGATATACAAAAGCATGATAAAAGGGAGAAAAACAAAGGACGAAAGAAAAAGTGGGAGATGCGCCGATCGCGTAACCTCCAGAATGAAGGATAAAGCGTAGGAACATCGTAGCCACGGGCCCCGTTTCCATGGTTACTATGAACTCAATATCCGCGATGCCGACAGGCACCACTAGCCTGAGGCTGTCATCCCTCGAACCAGAGCCGCTGCTGCCGTCGTCGAGTTCGCTGGTCTCTCCCTTGCAACCCATCTTTGCCTCTTCTCTTCCTGCCTCCCTTTTCTACCTCCTCATCCACATCCTCATCCTCTCTCTCTCTCTCTCTGTCTCTCTCTCTCTCACTCTCACTCTCTCTCTATCTTCCTCGTCTTGATTATATCCCATTTCTAGATCGCCGCAGGGACTACTCTCGTACACCAGGTCCTCCGATACACGACACGAGGTGAAGTAGCCTTCGGCATCGACGTGGAAGATGGCTTTGAAATTCTGGAATTTCCGTGATTTTAGTATATGGAATAATCTAATTGTTTTATTCAGATCTCTGTCTCTCTGTCTCTCTCTCTCTCTCTCTCTCTCTCTCTCTCTCTCTCTCACTCTCACTCTGTCTCTCTCTGTCTTTGTCTCTCTCAATCTATCATAATATGTGTACCATGATATTATAGGACAAATTTCAATGAATATTTTTTTGTTTAATTGTTGTACCATAAAGCAATTGATAAAAAAAGAAATATTATATTTAACCCTTTCCACTTCATAAACTACAATACGACAACATTCTCATAATATGAACTTATTGTCTTGCATTAGGAGTAACACATCTTGTATTATTATGGATTTTTGTTTATTGGAACTTAACAATTAAATAAAAAAAAAAAAAAAGAAGTAAAACTAAATGATATAAGAATTGTAAAACTCCTATAAAAGAGTAGGATATATTTGAAAATAATCTAAAGTGAATAAGGGTTAAAGTGTGCTGATCATTCCAAGCGATGATTGTTGTTTCATTGAGAAATAATCAAGCAGTCAGATAATAATATAAAAAATTATGATTTCTATATCTATCCAATATTAAACTTCTTTTGTGAAACAATTATATTATAACGATCGGAAAGTTCTTTTTAATATGTTCTATAACATTCTGATATATTTCTTTATCGTTTGACATTACTTCAACAAATTCTTTTTATACACAAATATATATTTAAAATTAAATAACTTATTTATTTATTTTATCAAAGTATTTTCGATAAGTAACAATTTATAAATAATTTTATTAAATTTAAAATCTACACAAGCTACCGATATAATAGGCGCATAGTAATTTATATTTTGTTTATATCTATCATTGAAGTTACGCATGTTTTTACACATCAGAAAAAAATGACTTATTCAATATTATCGCTCGAAACGTCTGATAGTGATTTTAACAATAGATATAGAAACAAAATATACTTAAAATGCATTAATATGGGTAAATATACATAATAGCATTACATTACGAGACAAAGGATGCAATCATAAATAACTTTCGTGCATAAATAATTCTCAAAAGATACCGTTTCTTAACACAATTTTTTTCAAATCAAACTGCTTTTCCCAAAATTTGAAAAAGATATGACGTAGATAAAACTCACATCTTTAAATTGAGACATTGCCATTAAAAAATGCTCAAGAAATACGTCTGTTTCCATTGTTAGCATAGATGCTATTCTCGACATTCTTCAAAGAAGAAAAGTTTTACATAAAATAATGTTAATTTAAAACGTCAATACTTTCAACATTTTTTCTCGAATTGTTGGCCATCAGCAATAAAAACAAAAACGCGCTTTGTCTTAACTATGACAATTATCGTGTCAGTTTCATTTTGTACATCGACGCGTAAAGATCGAAATAAACAATTTCTAAACGTATAATTTTATAAATTAATATCTTCGGTAAATTATCAATAATTTAAACAATCTCCAATATACACGGTGTATAATAAACTATTATTTAAACAATAGTACATTCGCTAAATAATTAAAAATAAAATAAGGAGCGCGCAAATCAAAATATTTTTAATATTCAATTTCGTTAAATTAATATTTTTATCCCGGGGTAGTTGGCCTTGTACAATATAAACATAAACGCGTCCTCTCTTAACTTTGAATATTGTCGTGTCAGTTTTCTTTTGCAGTCCGAACAGAACACATCGAAACTCTTACTTTCTTAACGCAAAAGCTATAAATTAATATTTTCGGAAATTTATCAATTATTTAAACAATCTCCAATATACACGGTGTATAATAAACCATTATTTAAACAATACTACATTCGCTTAATAATTAGAAATAAAGAAACGGACGCGCGACTAAAAATATTTTTAATATACAATTCCGTTCCTATAAAATTTTAATCTCGGGATAGTTGGTCTTGTGCAATATAAACATAAACGCGTTCTCTCTTAACTTTGACTATTGTCGTGTCAGTTTTCTTTTGCACTCCGAACAGAACACATCGAGACTCTAACATTCTTAAAGCAAAAGTTATAAATTAATATTTTCGGAAATTTGTCAATTATTTAAACATTCTCTAATGTACACGGCGTATAATAAACTATTATTTAAACAATAGTACATTCGTTTAATAATTAAAAATAAAATAAGGAGCGCGCAAATCAAAATATTTTTAATATTCAATTTCGTTAAATTAATATTTTTATCTCGGGGTAGTTGGCCTTGTACAATATAAACATAAACGCGTCCTCTCTTAACTTTGACTATTGTCGTGTCAGTTTTCTTTTGCACTCCGAACAGAACACATCGAGAATCTTACTTTCTTAACGCAAAAGTTATAAATTAATATTTTCGGGAATTTGTCAATTATTTAAACATTCTCTAATATACACGGCGTATAATAAACTATTATTTAAACAATAGTATATTCGTTTAATAATTAAATATAAAGTAACGGGCGCATGACTAAAAATAATTTTAATATTCAATTCCGTTTCTTTAAAATTTTAATCTCGGGATAGTTGGCCTTGTGCAATATAAACATAAACGCGTTCTCTCTTAACTTTGACTATTGTCGTGTCAGTTTTCTTTTGCACTCCGAACAGAACACATCGAGAATCTTACTTTCTTAACGCAAAAGTTATAAATTAATATTTTCGGAAATTTGTCAATTATTTAAACAATCTCCAATATACACGGTGTATAATAAACTATTATTTAAACAATAGTACATTCGATTAATAATTAGAAATAAAGAAACGGGCGCGCGACTTAAAATAATTTTAATATTCAATTCCGTTCCATTAAAATTTTAATCTCGGGATAGTTGGCCTTGTGCAATATAAACATAAACGCGTTCTCTCTTAACTTTGACTATTGTCGTGTCAGTTTTCTTTTGCACTCCGAACAGAATACATCGAGACTCTAACATTCTTAACGCAAAAGTCATAAATTAATATTTTCGGAAATTTATCAATTATTTAAACATTCTCTAATATACACGGTGTATAATAAAACATTATTTTAACAATAGTACATTCGCTTAATAATTAGAAATAAAGAAACGGGCGCGCGACTTAAAATAATTTTAATATTCAATTCCGTTCCTTTAAAATTTTAATCTCGGGATAGTTGGCCTTGTGCAATATAAACATAAACGCGTTCTCTCTTAACTTTGACTATTGTCGTGTCAGTTTTCTTTTGCACTCCGAACAGAACACATCGAGAATCTTACTTTCTTAACGCAAAAGTTATAAATTAATATTTTCGGGAATTTGTCAATTATTTAAACAATCTCCAATATACACGGTGTATAATAAACTATTATTTAAACAATAGTACATTCGATTAATAATTAGAAATAAAGAAACGGGCGCGCGACTTAAAATAATTTTAATATTCAATTCCGTTCCTTTAAAATTTTAATCTCGGGATAGTTGGCCTTGTGCAATATAAACATAAACGGGTTCTCTCTTAACTTTGACTATTGTCGTGTCAGTTTTCTTTTGCACTCCGAACAGAACACATCGAGAATCTTACTTTCTTAACGCAAAAGTTATAAATTAATATTTTCGGGAATTTGTCAATTATTTAAACATTCTCTAATATACACGGCGTATAATAAACTATTATTTAAACAATAGTACATTCGCTTAATAATTAAAAATAAAGTAACGGGCGCGTGACTAAAAATAATTTTAATATACAATTCCGTTCCTTTAAAATTTTAATCTCGGGATAGTTGGCCTTGTGCAATATAAACATAAACGCGTTCTCTCTTAACTTTGACTATTGTCGTGTCAGTTTTCTTTTGCA